TTATTATTCTTTTCATAATGACTTTTTTGATCTGTCCAAGTCAACTTATTACACAAGAGGTTAATACCTGTTGAAGAATCTCTGATATATCTAGATTGAGTGGTCAAAAATTAAAAGCCCTCTTTCCTTGTTAAAAAAATCCACATATTTGTAATGCGTCTTATTAGGACACTGGAGGCTTGGCTAGTCACTAAATATGATCAAATGCTGAGGAGGAAATTGGACAGTATTTAGGTAGCTTGGTATTTGGAAACAAGATGTAGAAGTGTAGAGGTGGTTAAGGAGTGGGAAACCTTAGGGACTAAAACTTGTCTCATATAGGAATTTTTTTGGGAGATCTCCCTTGGAACAGTCGTCCTTTTGGGTAGGATTGCAGGAGCATGTGTCGGACCATAATGGTCGGCATTTAAAAACAATTATGAGGTTCCCTTAAACCTTTGGAATATTATATATGTGAGGGATTTTCTTCTTTTTCTAGTTCAAAAAATTGGACGTGGCTGTAGCAGTTACATTTCTGGGAGGAAGTTTGAATTGGTTGTTCCCATGCTGCTGCATTTTCTAGTTTATATAATCTTTCTTTGCTTAATAATGTCCTTATTGTAGGTTCATTATTAGAAAATGTGACCATAAATTGGAATTTTCAGTTTTAATGCAACTCAAGGGATGGTGAAATTTTAAACTTTTTCTCGTTATTTATTATCCTTGAGAATGTTCCTGTTAAGCCTTCTCAAAATGTCAAAGGCTGTGGTGGTTGGATTTCTTGTGGTCCTTTTTTTCAAGTTGTTCTTTCATGCTCTTGTTTGTTCTCAAACTAATCTTTTACCAGTTCTAGTTCATTTCTGGAAATCTTGTGTCCAGTAGGATTAAGGTGTTTCATGGGAAGATTTCTACTTGTGAATTGGTTCAAAAGAAATGTCCTTTATTTCTCTCTTTGCTTTGATGGCCTGAGATGTGCAAGAGGATTTGGATGTAGTCATAGCCTGTTTTCACATTTTGATGCTGCAATATGTGTATGTTGTACTCTTCTTCGAGAGTTTTGCTTTAATTGGGTTCCATGGAAATTGCGACAAATTACTCCTTGAAAAGCACTTTGGCTTTGTAGGACAAAATGGGCGAGGTTATATGGAAAATGCAGTCTTGGCCATCTTTTAGGTGAAATAGATGGGGAGAAAAAAATAGGATTTTGAAGGGAGTGACCAAGAAATTTCTGTCATGGGAAAGAGTCAAATGTTTATCATTGTTGTGGATTTATACAGATAAGGAGTTAAAGGGTATTTCTTTTGCTTTAATTGCTCTTAGGCTTTCTTTTTATTTTTGTTAGAGGATTAATTATCCTCTTGTCGATTGTAATTGCATTTCTATGAACCATAAATTCGTGTATTTTACCCAAAGAAATCAAGCCACTATAAAATCTCTACTTAATTACGTATCCTCATCCATGCTTTTGAAAACTTTTTTGTTCTACTTCTCTGGAGAAAAGGAGCATATCCAAGTTTCGTTATATCTTTTGCTGTTGATTCATTGTCTGTGATGGCTAGTCTAAATTATTTTGTGTATTCTGTTGTTGCTTTCAGCGCAATATACAGAAAATTTCTCCGACTTGTGTGTCCTCCATCCCACAAATAAAAAAAAAGGTACTTCTGTTTGCTGCAGCAGATTTTTCTTGTGGCCTCCTTAATGTTCAATAAATAACTGTCTGTTGGAGATGCTGTCAAATAATTTGAGTTGTTTTGAATATTATTGCCATGTCCTGAGCTTGATAATTATCCAGGAAGTGAGTGGATTAGGGCCTGGTGAGATCAGCTGATGCCTACTGTAGCTTACGTTTATCCTGTTTAAGGACTGGGCTTAATTGATATTAATAGGGCAGCGTGAACCCCTTCTCTCCACTGTCTCAATTTCATTGCTTCCTGTATTTGTTTTTAAAGTGCATCTTTTGCCTATTTCTCTTCCTTCTTGTTTTATGACTATGGTCTTGAACTTAAATTTTGTTACAGAGACTATTTTCCATTGATGTCCTTAATTGTGAGCATCCGTAAGAAATCAAAGCTCACAAGACTTTCTATAATCATTTGCGTAATGGAGATGTGCTATTCATAACTGTTTTAATGCTGCTTTGGTAATGCCTTGTGCATTAGGATAGAGGGGATCAGGAAGCTGCTATTTACACTGAATCTGCTGGAAGATGTTGCAGCGATGAGCACCTGAACGAGATACATTCAGATTATCGAATGGGTGGTCCCAATAACGTGTGTGTCATCTGCAATCAAGGTGGCGAACTCTTGTGAGTAAACGTTTGTGTTTGTGCTCTAAGTTTCACAGCGATAATTAATTTTATGTGCAGTTAAGTTAGTTCTACTTAAGTAGTAGTATTTGCATATTCAGTACCTTGTTTCCCCTGGTCTTTGTTATGATATATACGCCATTCCCATTTCAGGTGCTGCATTGGAAATGGATGCAAGAGATGTTACCATCTGTCGTGTCTAGATCCTCCTCTAAGTGATGTTCCAGCAGGAGTTTGGCACTGTTTATGGTGTGTGAAGAAGAAGGTAGAATTAGGTGCCCATTCAGTGTCACTAGGAGTAGAGTCAATTTGGAATGCTAGAGAAGTGGAGATATCGAATGCTGAAGGTCTGACTCTGGCATANCAACCTCCTTAACCACCATGAAGTCCATTGACATCACAACCATCAAAATAAAACCCCCATTATCTCTCATACACAACTGAAACCATGCTTGAAAAAGTGATGGTACAAAAGACTTCCAGCTACCATTTACCCCTAGAACTCAGGCATCAGTAAAGCCTCCGAACTCTCATTATTACTGTTTCTAGTTTAAGGAAACAGATTAACCTAAAAAGGAAAGAGAAGTACCGGCCACCTACACCAAATTCCTAAACCTCAAACTCACCGCGTGTATAGTACAAAATACTTTTAACTGATCTCATGTTAATGATTTATGAAGAAACAAATGGAAATGGGTAGTTGAAGGATTATGATTGGAAGATTGATTCAGTGGTGGTGATTGTGTATTCCGAGTTTGTTTTGCTACTATAACTGAGATAGCCTGGTATGGTTTCTCAGGTTCAAATTATTATGTTGGCGGTGAAACCCCCTCATTTTTTTGGGTTTGATAGGAGTGGTTGCCGTTTTTGGGAAGAGGAGCTGGCTTTCAAAATTGGTTGTGAAGGTTCATGCTAAAATGATGTGGCTGGAGATAGTTTACATTGTTGGGTTTCCTACACCATTTGAGTGTGGAACTGTGGGACCATGTGTTAGTAAACTTATTTATGGTAGTCATCAATTAAAGGGTAATTTTGGAAAAGACATTAAAATTATGTTGATTTAAGGTCAAATGACATTGTATTGAAACAGACCAAGTTAAGTGAGTTGTTCATTTTAAAATGGAGTGAGTAATGTTTTTAATATTGGTACAATATTCTATAATGTTATAAATCTTCAGTTTAAGCATAATTTTTGTGATAATTCTATTAAATTTTGTGCATTGATCTTAGGAGTGCGAAGGCAGAAGCAGTATCTTGCTAAATACCATGGCCTTGCTCACATCCACAACCATTGGTTGCCTGAGAAACAATTGCTTCCACAAAATCTTCTTCTTGCAGAATTTAATTCAAAACATCAGGTTAAATCATTTCTCTCCTAAATGCTCAATTTGATTTCTTGGTTAATTGGTATGTGCTATTAGTTGACACAAATAACAATATTTTACTAAAAGAACTTCTATTAGCTCAAAACAATTGGTGCCCAGTAAATATGATTGTTTGTCTGATATTTAGGTGGTGAGATGGAATGCAGAATGGACAGTGCCGCACCGTCTGTTGAAGAAAAGATTAATTATCTTCTCTAGACTGCAAAATAAGCATCAGATCATGCCTTCCATTGATAGTTCAGATTGCCTGTGTGAATGGCTTGTGAAATGGTGTGGTCTTGGTTACGAGCATGCTTCATGGGAGTTAGATAATTCTTACACTCTAAGGTCCCCTCGAGGTCAGAACCTCGTGAAGGATTATGAAATTCGTCTTCAGAAGGCAAAGAGAACAGTTGACGAGGTCAAATTTGCCAGAAAATATTGAATTCTTGTCTTTACATCAGTTACACGAGTATTCCTGTTAATTTAACAAATAGAAATAAAAAATAAGGTATGATGATTAATTTAGAAAAGTATTCTGGATACCAAAATAAATATGCAATGCAGTGTCATAACTTAGAAAAAGGAATTTGGATGACCAAAATGACTCGTATGGTTGCATTTAATCCATTAAGTAATTTTGCATACTAATGTTTATCTTCGTATGTTAGTAACTTGTTTGGTCTAAATTTTGAGTCTAATTATTTGGCACATTTTTTTTCTTCTTTTTGGTTTTGACTGGAAGAGGGTTTTTACTAGTTTCAGTTTCATTTTTGGGGGACTTTTGAAACATCTCTCCTTTTTGTGCTCTATCCAATTTTTTCATTATTTTCTGAGCCATGTTGGGAGGATGTGGGCTTGTGGAATTAAAGAAAATTTAGGAGGAAGAGATTCCAAATGTTTAACAATATTGCTATTTTGGTTATATTGTTCACAAACATGGTAAAATTGGAGATTATGATATAATATATTTAGCACATGGTTAATATTGGCAAGTATACAGGTTTATCATGT